TATCCAAGCCTCAGTTTTCTCATCTATAAAATGGAGAGAAAATAATAACTAGAGTTGTCCGTGAAGACTAAATGAAATAATGCTTATGAAGGGTTTGCCTTAGGTACAGTAGGCAGTCAATAACTGTTGGTGACCATTTACCAGCACTATAGACTTAAACACAGACAAGCCTGGAACTGACTAATGCAACTGTTAATGTCTCCTTCTGAGAACATGTTCTCTAAGAGTCATCTTTAAATGAAAGTAGGAGCAGACACTAAGCACTGTCACCTACGAAGAGGAAAGATAGATGCTGCAGGCATGGCAGCGAGTCTCCCGAGGGCTGAGGGTTCTGATAGAAGCCTGTAGGAGCCGGGCCAGGACTGCAGCTAGAGTCGCTGATATGGAAGGCATTAAAGAATGTGATAAAGGCTTGGTTCCATGCCATCTTATGTAGTTGACTTAATGCGAGAGCAACAGGAAGAGGTCCGGTTATATCCGGAAGGTATAAGCAGGTCTAAGTTTAAGTTAAGAAGCATACGAAAGTCATGTTAAACACAAGGGGAACTCTTGAGTGGTGGGTGGCTCTGTACTGCTGGGGGCTGAAGGGAAAGCGATTTACTGACACTGCAAGGACCCTCAGAGGTAGAACTGACTGGCTTGGCTGGACCCACTTCATCTCCTGCCGTTGAGTAGGGAGGTGTGAGCAGGACTGTGGAAGAGACCCAGAGCAGGCCTCACAGACTTGCTGAGTGTCCCGAGGCAGGATCCACCATCCTGCTCTCCTGAGGGCACTGCATGCATTGTGCAGCTGCCCAAGAACACAAAGCCAGCCTCATTGCTCACCAGCTCAACTGAACATAAGAAACTGACACCCTACAACCTATGGAAAATGGGATGGCCTGTGTGTCTGGAGGGGGACCCAAGGAGGAGACTCACAAGGCCTCTTCCAAGGCACTTAGAAGGCAAATGGAATAGTGTCGAATGAAAAGCAAGTGTCACTCCCTCCATTTTGCAGATTGCAATCCATCAAGGGTAACCGATAACAAAAAAATAATAATAGAGACAGACATAATGGGGTTAGATTTTGAAACTTATGAGTGTGAATTTTTCTTTGCCTCTCTGAGTTCATGGTCTTTACCCAACTTGGCCCAAGACAACCACCTGCATGGGAAATTGAGATTTGTTCCAGAATGACCAGGGAAAGATTGAGGTTACACTTGGCTTCTGACACCACAGGAATGTTTAGCAGTTTAGAACTTTACTAACGCTCTAAATCCCTTTATTCTTACATTTCTTCTTCCATATTATAAAGAAAATAACCCTGCTGGCTATGTTGTGACGAGGGGAGCAAGGCAATAAGGCCTATGGTTCTACGTAGACCTTACACAGGAAACGGGGTGAGAGACTAGAGAAAAAGAAAGGGAGGAGGGGAAGGCCACTGCATTGTGTGACCGGTACATTGTACAACAAACACTGTCTGCCCTGAGCTTCAGCCTCGCCTGGGTGTGGATATCAGATACCAGGCCACGGACCTTTAGGCCCAGGGCAGCTGGGAGCTCCTGGGAGTGCAGAAAGGTCCTATACCGGCCTGTACACAGCCACACCAAAATCAACTTGGTTGTTCGGCAAAGTTAGGCAGAGACAGGCCTAAGATTTAGCTTCCCTGGACCACTCCTGGTTCCAAACAACACAGACAGGACCCAGGGATACCAGAGAGTCTGGCTTGGGGCCTTGGCAAAGAGCAGCACCTTCCCTGGGACCAGGTGGCCCTGCACTGAGGGCTTTGGAGGATGCGGCCTAGACAGGAGCCAGTTTAGAGTCACCCTCAGAACTCAGAAGGCTTCCTAGCACCCCTGGGAGAGGAGTTGGAGGCTAAGTGTCCTGCAGAGTGTGACAGACATTGACCAAGACAAAGAGGAAGAAACAACAGCCAGAATGCAGCTACAGAGGTTCACAGGATGTGAGAACTCATTCCAGAAGCCAGGGAGCCAAAGGACACCGTGTCTAAAGACCTTGATTTTGCTTATACCATGAGCTCTTTTGAGTCTCACCATTCCTACCACGTACCCAGATGACTTCTTGAAATGAAACTGGGTGCTAAGCAGATGACACAAATCTTAAGAGATAAATAGTGTCAGGTTTCTCTTCCTAAAAGACTGAGTTGAAAGTGCTTTAAGATTGCAAATCAGAATCCAAGATATTATAGTTGTCAATTGTTTTGGTTTGTTTGTCCCCAGGTAACTAGTGGCAAGAAAACCAGATTAGTTACAGGAAAAAAAAAAAAAAAAAAAGAGCCACATATTCTCTGCATATCCTAGCCAAAGCATGAGTGAAATTTGCGTCCTACTCCATAGCCGAATCAAATGAGAAGTGGGAAAGGATAGGTGAACCCGTAGATGTACCAGGAATTTGTACCTCATCAAGGTGAACCCGTGAATGGGGTGATCCATGGCAGTAGTGAGGAGTGACAGCGCTAGAGGTTGACAATGTTCTTACGTGCATATTTTGAAAGAATATGTGAACATGGAATGAATGTGATTAATGAGCTCACCCTAAGAGGCGAGGCTGATACCATTTAAAAAATACTGCCCGTGTTGAAGTCATGGTCAGCAACTAAGCAAATACATCTACTGCCTGAATTCAGGAAGTGACATTTCACAGTGCTTCTCAGTCATTATTTATGTGCAGGCACCTACATCAGTTATCTGTTGCGGATTAACCAATCCAAAACTGCTAGCTTAAAATAACAAAACACTTATTATCTTACAGTTTCTGAGGGTCAGGGATCCCAGAGGTAGTTGGGTGGCTCTGATTCAGGGCCTCCCAGTTAAGCTGTCGGTGTGCAGTCTACCGTCACCTAAAGGTTGGGCTGGAGGTTCTGCCTGTAAGACGCTCACTCACATGGCTGTTGGCAGGAGGCCTTAGCTCCTCAACACGTGAGCTTCTCCATAGAACAGCCAGAGAGTCTTCGTGATGTGGCAGCTGGCCTCCCCAGAACGTGATCAGAGAGAAAGAGGCAGAAGTCACACTGTTTGACGACTTAACCTCAGAAATAACGTCCCATCATTTCTGCAGTATTTTATCAGTCCTACAGACCAACAGTAATACAACGTGGGAGGTGATTACACAGGGCTTGAGTACCAGGGGCTGGGATTACTGAGGGAATCTTGGAGGCTGCCTACTACGAGTCCTTGTAAAGGAAAAACAAATTCAACACACCTCCAATAAATTATCTGTGACTTGAACTTGCAAAATAAGTGCTTGAACTTGCAAAAACATGAAACTAAATACAAACCTCTTTGGCATAAATAAGTTGTACAAAAATACACTACTATTTTTTAAAGCTTTGTTTGCTCATTCAGAATTATCAGGCCTCATAAAAATCCAAAATTTTGTCAATCCTGGGATACACATTTTAATAAGGTATCCCTTGATAACTCTGCAACCATCTAGTTTGTTCACTGGAAGATAAGTTTCACATTGCAGTGTTATTGAAACCTGCATTAGATATCTAATCCACTTACTGCTAGAATCAACAGAAAATTCTGCATTGCTTTCTTACTGCTACATTTTTCGCTGATGAATGGCTGCAAGTTTGCCTGTGCAAAAATGGAATCTGCATAATACATTTGCTCCCAACATAAATATGATACTGGCTGCCACAGCACAAATTCTTTGGATTCCAGCATGCCTATATTCTATAGGTCCCAAAATGATTCATTTCCCCTATCCCATTTCTGATCTGAATCACCGTAAAATCTTCCTTTTCAGAATGCTATGATATCATTTGCCTTCACTTGGCATAAAAAAGATCATAAGTGAAAGTGCAAAGCAGTCACTGAAGTCGCGTGGCAATGCTCAATTTGAAGGCGAATCTCTAGATGGTACACAACATGCTTATATTAATTCTAGTCACGGAAATTGAAAAGTGACCACAACTTGTGACCTACTAATACAAATGTTTTCTCAGCATGTAACAGTTTCCTGATGTTTTGGTTTATGCTGAGAAGCCCAATCGAATGAAACAGTGTCAGTGTTCATTTATAGACATATCAGGATGTTACCCCAAGAGAGAGGAGCTAAAAGGTGTCACCAGAGATCACAGCTGTGTCTCAATCAGCAGCACGTCTCCATTAGTCCTGCAGGCATGGGGGTCATGCTGAGACCCAGGGGCTTCTGTTCTGACACCCTCTTTCTCATATTCTGCCTAGACTGTGAGACACCCCCCTGCCGCCCCCCAGGTCCAGCCAGATGACAAGTCATCGTTTCAAAGGCATAACTAAAGGGGCAGAATGACCATGTTGCCACAGTAAAGTTGGCTCGGTATCAGAAAATAGTATCCATATGTTTGAGGAGATTTTGAACCACTTGGCACTTCACTGCCTTCGACCATCCAGAAAATACACTCTGGGCCTGAAAGCTTCTTAACAAAGGATTTCCTAGCATTGACACTGAGCGTGTGGCTTTCAAGGATTAGATGGAGCCTCTGACCTCAGACATCGGGATCATCAGCCACAACCTGTTATGTTCTAAGAGTGTTTCAGGACCCCTTGGCCCTCACCCCACAGGAACCAGGAGAAGGACCTCTGACACTCGCTCCCCAGCGCCACCTGCTGGTTCGTTGCAGCTAACATCAACACCAGCCGTGGAGAGACAGAGCTCATGGGTCCGCCTGCTCACCTCCTCTCTTGCGTGCCGTTAGGAGGTGAATGGCCACTTACTCATTGAAAGAGACAAACGAATAAAATCTCTCACACACAGAGCCTGGCACGCACCCTCTTTAAGCCTCTGTCAAAGCGCAGCTGCAGAAGGAGAAAGGACCCCACCCCCGCTCCCACTTTCTGGCTAATCGGGATGTGGTTTGGGGGCTACTTTTCAGAAGGACTAGAAAGGGCTGTAAAGCATGCATGCGAAGTGCTGATGTCGACTTTGCTCCAGGACCTTCACTGTTTAAAAACATGCTTTCAAAACACTAAACATTTTGGGGTGGGTGGGTGGGGGAATGGCTGGAGACCAAGAGAAACGGCTTTGTTATGAAATCCCTTGGTATATTCTCCGATATACTCAGGATTCAGTTCTGGTAGGGAAGTTCTCAGCAATCCATTTTACTGAGGATCATGTTCATTCTTTACTGCTGAACTGATGCAGGGGATTCAAACTAAAGCATCCAAGGAGAAAGAGGAAAGCCTCACAGCAGCAGAGCAGACTGGGGGCGCCCACCGCAAAAACCGACCTGCCAGCAATAATCTCAGGTCCCCTGGGCAAGCCTCTCCATGCAGCTAGGAGACAGTTCGATTCCCCTTTGATTGCTCATGCAAATGCATCCTATCGATATCACAAAAGGGATCACTGAAAATGAACTTCCTGCTCTCACTTTAGCTGCCTGCCGCCTGGGCTGGGAGGAGCCAGCAGCGCCTAGAATCTCATTAGACCTGAAGCCGGGAAGTGGTTTAGAGCATTACATCATGAGGTTGTCAAGGTAACTGGCCAGGCTGCCTCTCTGGAATCCTGTGGTTCGCGATGACAGGTTCTCCCAACCAGGTGAGGAGCAGAGGGGTGGCCTGCAGCCTGAAGCACAACAGCTAGCAGCCAAGGCTTGGAAAGGTGATCGCAGGCTGGGCTGTGGCTGCTGCGCTGCATCTTGGGGGTGTGTGGGGGGGGGGGGCGGCAGGAACAACCCCTATATCCCCTGTACAAGGGGAAAGACTATCCTTGGTGTTACCACTGACCAGAGCTCCAGAAGAGCGCCTCCTGCCCTGTCATCACCCTGACATCTGAAAGAGGCTCTGAAGCTCATGAAGGGAACCCTTCACTCCCCGAGTGCTCAGGCCCCGGTTTCCTGTCCCTTCTAGAATGGGACCCTATGTTAGTTCCCTCAGGCCTTAAAACAAAGTACCACAAACTGTGTGGTCTTAAACAATAGAAATTTACTCTCTCACAGTTCTGGAGCCTAAAAGTCCAAGATTAAGGTGTTGGCAGGGCCATGCTTCCTTCAAAACCTCTAGGGGAGGATCTTTTCTTGCCTCTTCCCAAAGCTCACAGCCCCAGGTGTTCCTTGGTTTGCAGTAGCCTCCGTCTTCACATGGCTGCCTTCCCTCTGTGTGTCTCTGTGTCTTTACATGATGTTCTCCTCTCTGTGTCTGTCTGTGCCTAAATTTCCCTCTTCTTCTAAGGACACCAGTCATATTAAATTGATCTTAAGCTGATTACATCTTCAAAGGCTTTATTTCCAGTTAAGCGTACAAGTACTGGGGGTGAGTATTTCAACATATTTTTTTGAGGAACACGATTCAATCAATAACAGGCCCATTCCTCACTCTGTACAAAGACGGGTACACACATGACTTTCCCAGGCCCACGGCAGGACAGGCCAAACCCTGCTGCCTGACAAACTCACTGAACACCAGGTGGAAAGTCAACCAAAGTAGAGGCGTTAAAATGGAACCACTGAAGAAATGAAGGGCAACCCTGTGGCCTTGGATGTCAAGGTCACCTGATGATACTGAGCCTGACAACAGCTTCTATGGGTGCTCCTGTCTCCTTTCCTGAGGCTCCAGGGGAGAAGGTGTAGGGCAAGGAGCTCACCAATAAAGTCAGCTGGGAGGGGCTGCCCTTTCTGCAATCAGCAGACAGACGTACCCTGGCTTTCCATTCAGTAGTGTTCTCCAAGACCTCTAGATCGGGCAAAGCCTCCTCAGCCCTGTGAATCACTCATTCTGTGCAGCTCAGAGAAAACATTCCAAGTGAGAGGTGCCTGCCCTTGCTCGCCAAATAGAGGCTGTTATTTAGGGGTAGCACAGAGATTTTGCATTGTCTTTATGTCAGGAGACTGCTAGAAACTCTTTAGACAGGTGGTATTCTTGTGAATCGAAGCCACAGGGTGAAGATCCCACTCTCAGAAACAGAAAAGACCTGGACACCATGCCTTGCCACTCATTTGCTTTCTCTAAGGTGTTCAGAGAGGGAAGTTCCCATGCTTTTCACCAGAAGCTAATACTGTGTTGTTTGAAACATCACCTTTCATAATTGGATTAAGGCCACGGACTCTGAAACAGCAGTTTTCTTTTTGGAAATAAGGATAGGGTTAATATCAGGTGAGAAAAGGTTAATGGGCAAACATAGGAGAGTTTAGGAGAACAGACTTGCCAGAGCCAAGGGAATGAGATAGAAACACGGAGGGATTTGCTGTTTATCCCCACATTCTGGGATTATTTCTGTCTCACATCCTGAAACCAGCTTGGTCCTCAAACTATTGTGTCCCTTTGCTGTGTGCTTTCCATATATGATCTCACAGACCCCTAAAGAGGTGGTATAACATCACGGCAGTAACTGTGGTACCAGGGCCAGACGGTTAGGCTCAAGTCCATACCCCGGCCTTCCACCTCCCCGCTTGACTCTAGGCAAGCCGGTGAGTCTCTGTGCTGTGAAACAGGAGACCTGAACACCGACTTCATAGAGCGATTGTGACGAGTAAAAGAAATAACCTGTGGAAATGCTCAGTAAATGTTAGCTCCTATTGTTAGCTATTGTAACTATTCCCACTTTATATAAAAGGAATCTGAGCTTTAGGAAGACTGATAATACACTCCGGTAACACAGCTAATTGTGGAAGACAAGATTCAACCCCAGATTTGAAAGCTGTCCAGACCCTCACCATAGCATGACTATTATGCACAATTGCTTCCCTGACAATTTGGGCCAACATCGCCTTTCGGGCTCCCTGACCTCCATTTTCAGTTCAGGCTCCAGCCTTTCAGTTTCTTCCTGAAAGTCCAGTACCCTCCTGGCTTCCCCTTTTGCCCAAAGCCCAGGGCTCCCCTTTGGAACCCATTTTCCCCAGAGAGCACCTCATAGTTCAGACCAAACCTCTCCCCTCAACCAGATGCTTTCCTTGGAATCCCCTTCTGCCAGCACTGCCTTTGAATTTCTAATGCAACAGTGGCCACGCATATCTGCTGAAATATCAACAGCTGATGGTGGTTTAATTCCTTGTCCTTCATTCATTCAACAGTAGTATAAAGGACAGGCTTTCAAGCCACTATGGGCCAGGCACCAATATTTGCACTGCTGACACGACCCAAGCTCATGGCCCCAGTCCTCACAGAGTCTATGGTCTAGAAAGGAAGGAAGACATGTGGACAAGTAACTCACATATAAGTGGTTATGAACTGGGGTGCTGTTTATGAATAATGAGCTATGGGAGTGCCGAGGTGGGGATGCTTTTGTTGGGTCCAGAAGAATGAATCTGATTTCATAAAGAAGGTCCTAGAATTGCAAAGCCTGGAAAAGAAGAAAGTGCAAAGAGAGATAGAATGGGTATAAACTTGAGTAACCATGGGGGTATGGGCCAGTGTGGCTGGAGCTTACTGAGCCTAAGGGAAGATGATGGGATATGGCTGGAGATCTAGGTAGAGTCCAGCTGGAGAAGCACTTGAGTGAGCAGTTCGGTTTTCCTCCTGATTCTACTGGTTCTCAAACTTTAGCCTGCATCAGAATCACATGAAGCCTTGATAAAAATGCAGATTTCTGGCTCCTTCCCAAAGTTTTTGATTCAGCACATCTGAGATGGGGCTTGGAAATTTATATTTCTAACATTCCCAGGTCCCCTGCTCCTGCTAGGACCACACTTTGAAAATTAATGTGGCAGAGAGTGGATTAATGGAAAACTGTCTGGAAACATCTGCGTTGTAAGTTGAGGTGCTGTATAACTCACAGTGCTGTACGTTGTAAGTACAATGCTGGCTGAGGGTTGCTGGCCTCCCCTGCAGCCCCACTCCCACCCCAAAGCAGTTGCTAATAGTTCCTCAATGTTTACGGTTGTTGCTGCATTTAAGGAAGAGTGCTGCCGTACAGCTTTTCTTCTCATAGCTGCTGGGATCAAAATCAACTCCACTGCCTCTTTCCAAAGGGAAGAAACCCATATTCCAAAGTGGGTCTAAAAATTCCCTCGTAAATGCAAAGAAAATTTCTTGAAAGAGATATGTCATTGAGAAGTTGGAAATCAAAATATAAAGGTTGCTGCTCTGATCTTATGGCTTTCCCTCTCTTTTTTTTTTTTTTTCCCTAGCCTGGTCACCGTGTTATTTGTCTCACATACCAGGCAAGCCTTGGGGCTTTTCACTGGCTAGGCCTCCTGCCTGGCGTGTCCTTCCCCCATATCCACATGGCTCACTCGCTTCAACCCTTCAGGTCTTTTATCATTTAAATCTTTTATGGAAAATGGTTTAAAATACCATCCTCCCTCCCCAACACACACACACACACACACACACACACACACAATCCCCCTAATCCTGCTTCATTTTTCTCCAGAGCACACATCACCGCCCCTCACACTGCATATTTTACTCTTTTCTCTGTTCACATTCCACGTCTCCCCCACGAAAATGTGAGCTTCATGGAGGCAGGGATTCTAGTCTTATTTGTTCGCTATGGGGTATCTAACACCTAGAACAGTACTTGAAACACAGAGTAAAAATACTTTACTATTTCCTGAATGAATCAATCAAATTGGTCCTTCCACACCCTGATTTTAAGACCTGGGCTTGTTCAGTCATTTTCCTGCCCAGGACGGCCAATCAAACTGCTCTATGTCTCTTATTAATAAAATGGGAATAATAACATCTGCCTCACCCAGATTTCAGAGTTCGGGGAAGCCAGACTGAGATCTAAATTATGAAAGGGCCGTAAAACATTAACTGTAATGCAAATTATTTTAAATTATTTTCCAATTCCCACAAAAGAATATAACATACATATGCAAAGAAGCCATTACTATGACCAGTATTTATTTTTCAGGCATACTGAAAAAATAGGCAGATTTCTTTGTTTCACTGTGTGTTCATATATAACTCTTTGTATGTGCTACAGAAATAGAAAAAAATTACGAAAGCTGCTAGCAGTGAGAAAAATAAATAGAAACAAGTCAAGTGTAAGATTACTCAATTGAGTATATTTAGTATGTACAAACAGTAACGAGTGACATTAAGTTACAAGGCAGTTCAGGGACTGTTAACTCAATATCATCTAGTAAAGTAATGGGGAAAAGTAAATGTTCATCAGTTTTATTAATATATATAACTCAAATGTCCCCAGGCCACCCCAAACTATGGGTTCGATTGAGATCACACTGACATGAATTCATAGTCTGCTGGCCTACGTGATTACAGACCCCCCTGTACAACAACAGCCCATCTGCACAGACTGCTCCACTTATCCTGAGACTCTCTGGGGTTTTTCCCATTTGCTTATGATTATTTCTCTCAGGGTTTTCTGAAGCGCCCTGCTTCCTGATGTCCAGCACCCACAGCCCTTAGAAAAGGTGCTATAGGAACAGTGCTTTCGAGACTTGAGAACAATTTCTCATCACCCCAAAGATACATACTCTCCAAAGAGCCTGTGGCTCCAACCCGAACTGGAGCCATGCTGCATCAGCTTCCAGAATGGGGAGGTTGGCCCCTCTCTTTAGGTTTTGCACCTAGACCCTGAGGATGTGCTAGAAAATGACAAATGAAAAGCCAATGGCATTTTCCCTTCCTCCA